CGGTCTCCAGCATCCTATACTGCAGGAAAGCCTGAGGGCCACCGAGAACCTCGACGAGCGCGCCATATGCTTTGGCCATTTCTAGAATTCCTTCTGCCTCGCGCTTCTGCTGATAAAAAGCGGCGTCCGCCTCTTTGCTCTGGCGATAATCTGACATCATCAGTGCAAATGAACAAAGCAAGGAAACGGAACTCTAAGAAACGCACAGGTCGCATCAGCTTCAATCTTTCGCCTGTATAGCTGTGCATCTGCAGCTTTCTGTTCCGTATAGAAGGAAGCATCTGCATTTTCCTGAGCAGACTCGCGTGCAACCTTGCTTTTCGTGACCTCGACGGCTCGTAGGCGTTCGAGCTCTGTTTCTGCACGCTTGGACTCAACCTGTTTCTGCAGCTCTGCGTCCCTCATTTCTGCTTGACGCTGGGCTGCAATCTTGGCAAGCCGAACGCTGTTATCTAACTCAGTCTGACGGTTCATGAGCTCAGAGTCTGCCTTGGCCTTTTCGGCCTTCCGCTTGGTCTCCAAAACTGCAGTGTCGGCATCGATCTTCGAGATCTCCTGTTTTGCTCGTCCTTTCTTTTCGGCCTCACCAATTTCTCCCCTCATTCGTGCCTCAGCCACATCAATCTTGGCCTGGTTGAGGGCACCTTCGTGAGCTTTACGGCTTAGGAAGGCGAAGTACTCGCTGCCTGGCGTATCCTGAAGCTCCTTCACGTTGGCGTTATAACTATGAAATGCATAAGCCACCGTGCTAACAAAAACGCAGTGTGCCAAACGTACATTTTCAGTCCAAATTGTTGAAGCTCGCTCTGAACGTTTCGAATGACTATTCAGTATCGCGTTAGCAAGCTGAGGATTCGAACTCAGTAACAACCACGGACCCTTTGTCTTGAAAACTTGTCTCTCCTTGAATATCTCTTCCATGGTCATGCTGGAGACTATGACACGAGTCTCGCCTTCAATGATACCCTTGACAATGTCTTGAACATGATCTCGCCGTGTTGGGTCCGTCAGATCCTTGGCCTTAGCGAAATCGGCCTCGGAGGTGCTGCCGGATAGAAGCAACGCATATTTCTTCAGGGCGTCGGCTTCATTATCTGGGCCGATTGTGAAGACTGCTGGCAGGGAGAACTGCAGCTTTTCAGTAGTCATGGCTTGCAGGTTGAGGGAGAAATCGAAAGGCGCAACAGAGATTCTGGAGCACTTGATTGTAGAACGAGAAGTCAGCTACTTCAAGACCTTAGCTGATGCTTAATGAAGACATACTCGCTGCCATGGCATGACGATGGCTTTCTTGCATATCCGTATATCATCGATCCCAGCACCCGTAAGCACGAGATACTCGCTTGGTCGAGAGATCGCGTATCTGGAGCAAAAGATGATGAGCGTTTCTGCTACGAGTGGGAACTGTCATCACAACATACCGCATCTTGGCGACCGCCTAGAGGGTCAAGAATATCAGGGAGATATAGAAATGAGGGAGATATGGGCCACAAGCAAAGTCTAACTTGAGAGCAATATTGATATAATCAGATATTCCTCGATATGGAGAAAGCATTGCGATATCATCTCCCGCAAGAATGCAGGCTTATATACCCATCGAGAGTCTTCTTAGCTCTAAGGGCTCTCCCAGTCCGCCTTGTCAGGCTTGTACTATAGGGCGCCCAGGTCCAAAAGGCTCTGGGTTCAACCGAAGTTTGAGCTCCATATGTCGACTTCATTACGGAAATCAGGTGCGAAAAGCCAGAGAGCAGCCTCATGTGTCCCACGCTAGGCGCCGCCACGCCTTCAAAAGAAAAATGTCAGTGACGCAGGTTCGTATTGCATATATTCTATCATGGCGCCCTAGATCTTCTCTAGGCTGTGTTTGCGGCTGGTTATCGTTGGACTCGTCTATAATGGCCACGTTGTGGATAAACAACGGATCGGGCAATGTCTTGGCCAAATGCAGGAGGCTATGGCATCTGAACGCCTGCACGTGGGTACTAGGGCAGGTTCACCTAAACGTGCTTAATGGCAGAGATGCAAGAGATGCAGTCTGTAGGTTCAACCACCTCGAGGCAGGCTGAGCCTCCTCGAAGTGTCTAATCATGCCCATCACTTATAACAAATATTATGTTAGGTTAGAACTGATGGCACGAGTCCATAGGGCTTCAATTCTAGCAGAAGCAATTGCATTTTGATCTTGCGCGAACCCGACTTTGCGTGCTTGAAGCGTCACCAGGCTTCACTGCAGGCAGCTAACAATGTTGAAAAGGTAATATCGTTTCCTCGTCAATGTTTACACAAGGATCCCACGTGATCCCCCTCAAACAAACACTGCAAACTAGCTCTTTTAGATAGCATCATAGCGATGGAGGGGCATGGGAAGACGACAATTATCTAGAGTTACCTCCTACAGCTTAACAAAATCATATCCCTGAGTTACTCCTCGAGCTGCAGGAAAGATATCTTTACCAAGCACAAAAAATAAGGCAGAAAGTATGTTGATCCCGTTCGTGATATTTGCATTCCCCCCCTCTGCGGAATTTCAAGCCATATGTCTAAGGCCCTCGACGGCGGGCGCACCATTGCACCTTGGACCGGGCAAAGGGCTCACAGCCTTTCAATGATTATACGCGAGTTGTCTACGGACTCATTCGCTATAGCTCGTGCACATGTCGAGCAGCCGAGAAGCAATTGGATTTAAATATGTTACTTGCATGACATCATCTGAAATATCATTGCCCGCCTGGTTCAATGGAAGCTATGGTTAGATGCTTGATTACTGACAAGTTATGCAGTCCAAATTGTCAATATGGCACCACGCTCTCAACTAGAAATTGCTACATCCTCTGTTGAACGTCTGGTGAAGGAAGAGGCCTCCTACCACCGCGAGCTCCAGCAACAGACGGAAAGAATCCAAAAGCTAGAGTCTCAAGAGGCTGGCGAGGACGAGAACCGAGAATACATGCTGAAGCAGGAGGTGGGTTTCACTAGAGTATAGACCTCTCCTCGATTCTGACAGTCATGCAGCGCCTTGCACTTGAAGAGACCAAGAAGGTTTTGCCCAGTTTGAAGCAGAAGATCGATGAGGCTGTAGCAAAACTTGAGAGCCTTCTGGTGAGTTGTGTCTGTGATTGCGGCAGTCTGACTATTACTGACATTCGACAGGCCGAGGAGGGGAAGAAAGGCCTCGAGAGCAATGTAGAGCAGATCACAGCTGGCAAGGAGGCCATCGCAAAGGCTAAGACGGCTAAAAGAGAAATCGCCTAGATGCGATGATGACTACGGATTCTCCCAATGCAGTGTTTTTCGAGATTGTGCTGCCTCTATCGGGTAGGACTAAACTGACCAGTCGAGAGATATTTGGTGTATAATAAGACAGTTTTGACGAAAATGTGAACGCCCTCCATCCTAACTCCATGCTATATGACCCCAACTTATTCTTAGACTCACGTAGTGTCCATTCTGTCAGCAGTTTTATCATCCGGTTCAGCCTCTCCTTCTTCCAATTCGTCGGGGTGTTCTGACCCCTCCTCTCCGGTCACTTCACCTTCGTCCATGTTGGTATCCTCTTGGTCCGCGGTGGATACGTTTCGCAAGGGAGACGCTGCCCCTGTAGTCGCAGACATTCTCTCTGCGTGCAAACCAGCTGAAGATCGGGCCCCTTCATCCTGGCTGAGCTGAGAGGGAGTGACGTTATCAGACTCTGGTCGAGGTGTATTGGCTCCGCTAGATTTGCCTTTCGAAGGAACGTCCCCTTCATCTCCATCTTCGCCTTCTTGCATGCCTTCCCTGCGCTCTACCTCCTCCTTCTCATCGCGAATGAGACGCCGAAGTTGCATGCCCTCTTCTACAATGCGGCCAAACTGTTCTCGCCGCTCGGCCCATGTCTTGGCATATTCCTTGCTCTCATTCTCGAGATCCGCAATTTCTGCTTGGAGCTTCTGTAGGTTCGCCTGCTGATCTTCGCGTGGCTTTAGAAGCCTGTTGCTTGTGATCTTCTCAGCCAGTTCATCATAGCTTTTCCGTAATGCTAGTAGCCGTTGAGCTTCCTCAAGTTGCACCCGTAATTCTGCCGTGTTTTCGCGAACGGCCTGCATTGTGGATAAAATCCGAAGCTTTTCGGCGGCATACCGCTCGCGTTCTCGCTCGTTGCTCGTAAGGAGAAATTGAATGCGCGCGATACTGCCTTCAAAAGAGGCAAAATCCAGATTCATATCCTCGCGGAAATTGCGCCATTCATCCAGCCTTTTCTGCTTCTCTGCTTCTGCTGCTGTTGTAGCGTTCTCGTCTGTTTCTTCAGGCGGAGGGGTAGGAAGGATTGTCGCATTGGAGATCACGAGTGAGTTTGGGTTAAGGAGTCGTTTCGATATACGCTTGAAGGGTTTCTCTTCGACATTCAAAAGGCGTAACTTGTGTAGGTTATCTGCATCCCAAATTTAGCGTGGAAGGAAATGAGCTTGAGCTACGATGACACCAACCTTCCTCTGGCTGATCAAGCAAGCCGTACGACGCCATACTGTTGGTTCTTGTAGTGGAGAGCTGTGATCAGTATTGATTGCAACAAAATTAACCACAGTCGAAGATTGTCCAGCTCGTAGCTATGATGGTGTTAGAGGAAAGGCCGTGTGAGCGGTCGGAGAAGCAGCTAAAAGCGGCACAGCTTGATCTTTCGGCATGCGCCCGATGTTGTGGCTTCCCCCAGTCTCCTTATCGGCATTTTTCAGACTACCCCCAGAGGTACTTCTGGGCGAAAACAACGGCTTACCAGCGCTGTTCTTGCGCGTACTATGCCATCGCAGTGATGCCAAATTCTACATGTGTCATTTCTTGATCAAACGTACAAGTTCCCAGTGATTGAAATAGAAAGGCGTGCCGTGTGTGGACAATGCTCAGCGCAACTGGTATGGCCTTCCAGCAAGCGCTTCGCCTTAACGACGTCCAGATGCACCACTGATGGAATACGATACGTGCGACCACAATCCTGGCCCGACTGTTCGGTGTAGTCGACCGCTGTCATGACGGAGATGTACTCGGGGCTCCATGTGGGCCAACGATTCGTCTCGCTGGAAGAGTTCAAGTCAGTTGTGCGAAGTATATCAGTCAGGCAGCATTGGGAACTTCGGGTGACCCGAAGCAACAAGAAAAGCGTTGTCATAGGGTGCCGATCGTCCGCCAATTGCTACTTCCGCGTTGTCTGCCGTGCAAACAAAAACGAGACTTACATAACGAGCCTTCAGGATAGCCATAGCTGTCGACGGCATGCAGCATCCCCAGGAACAACCCCAGCCCGGTCCGAGGCTTCGCATGTGCGGTTCTTACTAAACGAAATACCAAAGTTGTTTGACCTGAGTCACAAGATCAAAGGACAAGATGTTGTGGATGCGGTCAAGCGGTATCATGGATATGACATATCCATAAGACAAGCGCACCGAGCGCTCACCAAATTACAACCAAGGCTACCACATCACCAGAGCGAAGAACCAGGGGATCGCGCTTTGAACGGGAATAACCAGCCCGGTCCCCAGGCTCACGCCACGCCGTCGGTCAATGGCTCAGTTTACAGTACCATCTCCGAGCAAAGATGGATTCCCGACAATGTTCATCAGTCGGGATTCCTGGAAAAGCGACCTATCGAGCTGACAGATGACCCAAGTCATGAGTCTCCGCAACCAGCAGAGCTTGTTCGCGATGCTGTGCAGCCACAGATTCCATCACAACGTCCGCAGCCAGTGCATGGCTCATCCCAAGTACAACTTCCATCCGGGGCACAACCACAGGAGCAGATTACGCTCAATGACGAGTTGCGCACGACTGATGAGCAGCAGTCAGATTACATACTATCGGCACCTACAGTACTGTCTGCACCACAACCGGGGCCGTCTCAATCTCCACAACAGCCACGCAGTACTGGACATCCTTCTGCGCCACAGATGATCTTGACCAATTTCAAGATCGAGTTCACCTGTACTGCTTGTGGAGCTTTGAATCAAAGCTTTATCCCAAATCAGGGGAATATAACTGGTGGAGCGTACTTGCCTTCAAATAACGTAATCAATCATGGTCCTGTCGGCAGAACTACAAATTCTTCAATTCAGTCAGGTGCCAGCGGTGTTGAACGTGTGGCCCAGACTAATGAATATGTGGAAGCTCCTTCAGTCAACGCACGAGGCATACAGCCGCTATGGCAGCCAGGGAGTGTCGCGGTTTCAATTCCACCCACGCATACGTGACCAGTCTAAAGAAATCTACCTGACTACCAAAAAACCAATAGTCCTTCTCCAAGACGATTCTCGGACCGTGCCGCTCTCTGAGCGCCAACACTACAGCTCCTTGAATCTGGGCCTCAAGTTGACACACTGAACCTCGAATTCGTCAAGAACTTATGATCTCTGCCGGCCAGATCTAAACTCAAGACAGAATCCAGGCATCGTGCTTACTGTTCCTCGATAGAAAGTAGGAGGAGTCATGAATGATTATGGAGATTCACAGGCCTCGGTCCTGTGGATACTCCGATGCAGTTACTCTGTTTCCATGACATGACTTTGTTGCGAGAAATCTCACAACTGTACTTAAAGGTGAGATAAGCCACCGTATATGTGCATCATCACGAAAATCCGCTTATATTTGCGACACCGGAAGTACACCCTGGACGGGAGAATGGCTTGGTGCTCCACGTGACGTAATTAGATAAATGACCATCCGTGGTCGGAGAAGCTGAATAATATGTCCGAGCTGTCTAATTGCGACTGTGGATCAAACATACATGATACAACGTATCTCCATCTACTGAGCGATGCCAAGCAGGCCTTCTAAATGAGACGCCCTATATTCGATTCATTCAAGACCCAAATCACCGTGCGGAATTCGGCACTGGTCCCATCGGACGTCCGAAGGAACTAACGGCAAATGCCGACGACAAGTCTCCACATCCTCTTTCAGTCCGCACCAACTATCATTCATCCATGACGCGGATTTGGCCCGGTCTGCCAATCTCCAGTTGATATTACCTGAAAATGTCCTATTCTGACACCGACCATGACTCTGTCGGGAAAGAATCCGACATTGATGCAGGATGAAGGCCCCGTCTGCTTGAATTGGGCTGTGACTGTCATGAGAGGCCACTCTTGATCGACCATCCATTGGACAGTGCGATGAAAAAAAATTTCATCTTTGTACATGCCAACTCACTGTTGAAATGATATTATTGACGGTTGCTCTCTGTGCAAAGCGCCGAAATCGATGTACATATCTGTCTGTTTCGCCATCAAGTGATTGACCAAAATCCTGTTGCAAACTTGCGCTCGTTGGAAATCCTGTCTCAAGACGCAGCTTATGGTCTGGAGTACATTACCTAGGTTCAACTGTCAATAGCAGAAGGATTTCTCGATACCACAAGCTAGACCCCAGAGGCGCACAAAGATGAATCGACAACAGGCGGCCGAAAAGGCCTTGCATGACCAGATGAACATTCTACCAATCGTACAGTTGTTGGTAGTCTTCTCTGGTCTTGCTGTATCTCTCCTTATCACGTTTGTGGATCAAAATGGCATCAGCGTTACACTTCCGACAATTGCCAAAGACCTCAATGCGGAAAATACCATTTCCTGGGCGGGTACCTCGTCGCTGATCGCAAACACCATGTTCAGTGTGCTTTACGGACGTCTCTCTGATATCTTTGGTCGGAAGATTGTTTACTTATCAGCACTCGCCCTGCTGTGCATCGCTGATTTGCTCTGTGGCCTCTCGCAAAATGCAGCAATGTTTTACGTCTTTCGCGGCCTTGCCGGTATTGCAGGAGGTGGCGTCGGTTCGCTGACTATGATTATCGTATCTGATATAGTGACCCTTGAAAACCGCGGAAAGTATCAAGGAATTCTAGGAGCATCGCTGGGACTGGGTAATGTGATCGGCCCGTTTATTGCGGCAGCTTTCATCATGAATTCCACCTGGCGAGGGTTCTTTTGGCTCATATCTCCGCTCGCAGCATGCTCCATGGTCGTTGGCTCTTTTCTGATCCCGAGTAACGCCTGTAAAGGTGGCGTGCGGGAGAACCTGAGCAAGATCGACTTCTACGGCATCATTGCCTCATCCATTGGGATCATCTTTTTGCTTATACCCATATCAGGTGGTGGCTCCTACTTTCAGTGGAATTCTGCGATGGTGATCAGTATGCTTGTTATTGGGGCATGCTCATTGGTTGCGTTCGTCTTCATCGAGTGGAAAGTGGCCTCCCTGCCAATGCTTCCAGGTGCGTTACAACTCGTGCCGTTTGTTAATTCAAGAGGAGCTGACCTGTGGGCAGTGGTATTCTTCAAGAACAAAGTGTTATGTGCTTTATTCTTACAGAGCTTTCTTCTTGGCGCTGTGTATCAATCGTACCTCTATTATCTGCCACTGTACTATCAAAACGCACGAGGGTGGTCTCCGATAGCTTCTGCCGCTATGACTGCTCCCATGGTCGGTTGCCAGGCTCTTGCGTCTATTGCATCTGGCCAATACATTTCTCGAACCAAACGGTACGGAGAGGTGATATGGGCTGGTTTCGGCCTCTGGACTCTGTGAGTTTTCCTCGAGATTAGAGATCTTTTCTAAGCGTGGATTCTAACCTGTCGGCTTGAATCATTTAGAGGTGCTGGTCTGATGCTGCTTTTCAACAACCACACTCATCGCGCAGTGATCGTTGTCATTGTCGCCATTACCGGTATGGGTATCGGATGGACCTTTCAGCCAACTCTGATCGCTTTTCAAGCCCACTGTACCAAGTCTCACCGAGCGGTAGTAATCTCGAATCGAAACTTCTTCCGTTGTCTCGGAGGTGCTTGTGGACTGGCCGTGTCCGCTGCTATCTTGCAAGCAACACTCCGATCAAACCTACCGAGTGGATACCAGAACCTGGCTCACTCGACGTACTCTCTTCCCTCGCCGTCGGATATATCCGCTTCGGATTGGTCTCAAATACTCGATGCCTATGCAAAAGCGTCAAGGGGCGTCTTCATTTTACAAGTGCCTCTGATTGGATTGTGTTTCGCAGCTTGTCTCTTCATCCGCGATCGGGGTCTCGAGCGGCCAAAGGAACCAGGGGAGGAGGAGGAAGAACGGAACGCTACACAACTGAAGTCAGACGAAGAAGTTCCTCCGACTCAGCCTTCTGAGAAGTCTAACAAGGGCCATAATCAGGAAGCGGACGGCAGCAGGAGTCAATAGGCCAACATGACTGTTATGGAGATACTCAAGACTTGCATCGTGCAGCGCAGTGATCTTCGGATGGCTTTTACCTCATCTTTAATAGCTTTAATAGTTCTTGATGGCAGCATGAGCGGCGTTTGTAGAAATCGACTGATTAGATACATTTTTAGGCGTTCATAGAAATTTGACGAGAATTATCTCTCATGATTTGCGATCACTGAGTATATTACACAATTAATAAGCATATCAACTATTGTCTTCATGCAACCATTTAACTCGGAGAATGGACCCTACCCCGAGCCGGTCCAGTTACCACGTCTTGGCATCGTCCAGGGTCTACTGATGACTTCGTCAACTTGGTGAGCATCCACTTGACATCAATCTGACACTAGTGGAGTTATTCAATCAGGAACAGAGAAGATGTCTATATGTATAATCTGTCAAGATGGATATTCCTGAGCAAGTGTCAAACTCAGAGGCGCGCCTCCCCTCAAAAGATCACAACCCCAGAAAGCGCGTAAGAACGTCATGTACGCGGTGCAAAACTAGGAAGCAAAAGGTCAGTCGTTGGCTACTAGGTTTGGTCTATCATCAGGCTGAGCGGTATAGTGCGATAATGATTATCCGGCCTGTTCCAACTGCCGCAAAGCTGGGGTTTCGTGCGATAAATTGACGTTTCTTCGACAGGAGAGTGGTCAATCGAATGAGTGAGCCATCTTGTTCCGATGAGCACCAGCTCTTCCTGACGATAATTTTTCGGAGCACTAATTTCAAAAAGCTATATCCGTGCGCTGGAAGAACGCATTGCTTATCTTGAATCCCAGCTGCAAGCGAGACCACAAAGCAACGATGCCAGCAGCAACGCCGGTCAACCAGTTGCAGCACTTTTGTCTCCTCAGAACCAAGATGCCGTCCCTGCGTCTGCTTCGAACTTGAGCCACAACACTGTGGGCGAGCTTGTTGGCTTCCTCGCGCTCAACTCCGCAGAAGCTCCCGCCTATGTAGGCTCAAGCTCCGGGCTCTCACTGGCCGCCAACCTCAGCGAAATGGTTCAGGCAACGGTGTGGAACCAAGTTCTTGCGCCATCTCATATCCACCAGGTCTCTTCACGCGGTAGTGGTGGGTCTACCGCTGGTCAGGTGGTCACTCCTACAGGTCTGCCTCCTCAACCGTCCAGCGGGAGTCAGAATGTCCCTGACCATCCACGACCGCGGCGCATGGAGGACCTGCTGGTCAAAAGTACCGAACCGCCGAACGATGAGATGGGAACGCGGATTTTACATGCGTACCTGACCAGACTGCATGTGCGCTATCCGTTCCTTGATCGTGCGGAGCTGTGGAGGCTCCATGGAGCTCGATGGCGGTTGGCCAAAGCCAAACGGGAAGAGCTCACGAAGGCAGAGAGATTCGGTCTGTTCAAGTTGTATCTGGTATATGCGATTGGAGCGACGACAATTCAGCTCAGCGAGAAATACACATACGTACCCCCAGAGGTATGCCTACCGAAGCTTTCTTCTCTATCAGGTCTAAGAGCTCTGACCTCGTCTAGCGATACTATATCACTGCTTTACAGCAGGTCCCTTCCATGTGTGAAGTGCGATCTATCGAAAACATAGAGGCAATGACTCTTCTGGTGGTGTATCACCTTCGCTCAGCATCGAGCCATGGCCTCTGGTACATAATCGGGCTCGCCATGCGCACTGCCATTGACATTGGCCTGCACAGGAAAGCGAACGAGATTAATCTGGATCCATGGACCGCGCAGATGCGGCGACGACTTTTCTGGACAATCTACTATCTCGAGAGGGTCATCTCAATGTCTCTTGGTCGCCCCTTTAGCATCGCAGACCGTCAAATTGACCTGCCATTGCCAGTGGATGTGGATGACGACGTCCAAGACCCCGCTATACTGACCGCCCCGCCCCGGACCGACAGGATTACTTCCCTAACGTTCGCAATTTACTTGTTCGAGCTGCGTCGGATCGACTCGAGGATCCAGCACAAGATCTACCGCGCGGACAGGCCACTACACACGCTCCGCTCGAAGATGGACCGTCTCTTCATCGAGCTGGAAGAGTGGAAGAGATCTGCCTTGCAGCGTTTCAGCGGGTCGGATCTGGACTATCCCATGCTGCACTACAACCGTGCTCTTCGACTCCTCATACAGCCATTCCTGCCCTCCCTGCCCCTCTCGGACCCCTACTACCACATCTGCCTTCGTGCAGCTGGTGATATCTGCCAGACCCACAAGCGGCTTCACCAGACGCTTGAGTACGGGCATTCCTTCCTCGCCGTCCAGACGGTCTTCATGGCCGGCATCACGCTGCTGTACGCCCTTTGGACGCACGCAGACCAAGTGTGGTCCGTGCAGATGAGCAACGACATCCGGGCCTGCTCGACCGTCCTCTTCGTCATGGGCGAACGAGCAACGTGGGTGAAGAAGTACCGCGACGCGTTCGAGATGCTCGTCAACGCCGCAATGGAAAAACTCGAGGGCAACAGCGAGGCGGCCAAGAAAGTCGGCATGGCGGAGCTGATGACCGCGCAACATGGTGGTTCGAATCCCAACCTCCAAGGTACCACGCCTGGCACGTTCAAAGAGTACGCGGCAACTGATCCTAACACAGCGGGGTCGACGAATCCGCCTGCTCATGATCATGGAGTGCGGATGGCATTCCAGCTTGCTCCGTGGATCGATCTTGAGGAGGATTGTCCGTTTTGGATGCCGGACTTTGAGACTCTCGAGGGGTTTTCGGGGAACCTCTGGGGAGGTGATACTATCGCGCCTTTTGATCCTCTTTAGCTTTCTTGTGGTAAAGAGCCCAGAGATATGTGACCGAATCTGGAATTGCAAAAGCGTTCCATGAAGCTTAGAATCACTTTCACCAAGATACCGCCTACTGTGATCGCCGGTTGAAGACTATCTTGCTTTATAGAGGTTATTCCTAGAGTCATAACTACGGGCGTGTGCACTCATGAAGGCATGTTCTATTGGCTATGGTCATTACGGCATATACATTTCCAGATTACTTCAACAACTTCGGCAGCTCATCCACACTGACTTTACCATCGAGTATGCCTGTGTTGGTCAGCACCGACTTATCATCCAATATGCTATTGTGTGGAACTTACGATTGACGGCATTGAACAACGGAAAGTCGTCCAGCTTGCCATGCGTCGACAGAAAATCGCACACGGCGCGAGCAGTCGACGTCCCCTGCAACTTCTGCCCGTTCAGCTCCGACTGTTCGATCTCCTCGACACTGATTCCCTTCTCAACGGAATGCTTCGCGGACCGGAAATTGCGACCAGCCGAGCACGAGGCGACCAGATCCGCCACGCCGGCGCTCTCCTCGGTAAAAGTCTTCTCGTTTACAGAGTCGGGGAACCAGAAACGCCCGAAGCGGATCATCTCCATCATCCCGATACGGATGATGGCCGCCTTGGAATTCTCGCCCCATCCCTTACCCGCGACGAAGCCGGCCGCCAGCGCGACGATGTTCTTCAGCGCGCCGCACAGTGCCACGCCCGCCACGTCCGCGACGACATGCACATGGAAGTACGGGCGCTCGAAGAGACGGCGGAGCAGCTTCTCGTCGACGCAGGGGTACTCGTCCGGCACGCGCTGCAGCTCCGCGGAGGTGGAGGAGATTTTGCGCTGGCGCTGCTTGTTGATGACGTGGCGGTTATCCGGGGAAAACTCGTCCTTGGCGTCGAGGTCCATGGGCGGCGGGTCGTAGCCGATTGTGGTCTCGCAGAACTCCTCGGCGGCGACCTCGGGGGCGATGTTGGCGCCGGACAACGACCCGCAGTAGATGCCCAGCTTCTCCATGATGAGCTCCGAGAAGAGCGTGACCCGCCCGTTCGCGACCTCGACGCCCTTGACGCATGAGACAGCCCGCGCGTACGGCAAGTGGTGGCCCTTCATCTGCTCGAGCGTCTTGTCGATGAACTGGTGCGGGAGGTTGAAGACGAGGATCGTGGCGTCCTTGACGGCAGCTCGCACGTCTAGGTTCGCGACGACATTGCTCGGCAGCGCGATGCCAGGGAGGTACTTGACGTTCTCGTGGACACGGTTTATGACGTCCGTCAACTTGTACTTCTGGTCGCCAAGGGCCTCGCGGTGCGGCGAGTCTTCAGGGATGGTCACCTCCTCTTCGAATACCCACATCTGCACCTCTTCTTCGAAGACATCGGGATGCTCGCGCGTGTTTTCGGCCAGGATTTTGGCGATCGTCGATCCCCTGTCATTATCAGCCACTGCATTATATATAATTTAGGAATCATAAATGAATTTACGGAGTAGAGAACTAATACCAATTTCCAGAACCGACCACCGTAATCTTGTGCTTTTTACCCGTCATTTTGTCTAGGAGGAATCTATACTGCTGTTGCAACCTAGAGAAAGCTATGTGGACGGCAGACCTGCCTTATATATATAGTTAACAGAACCATAACGTAACAATTGATGCAATCACCTTGCCCGTCACACCGTCAGTGGCATTGCCAAAACAGGCTGCGAGAGGTTGTTGTCCGATGCGCCTGTTTAAGATCGACGTCATCAATACGTCTGCTCACTTTAACCTTTACTTTGGTACATCAGATCAGATCTTACCAAACTATTGGAGCTAGACGTAAACCAGTAGTTGGATGAAAAGTGAGAATGTGCATTACTGTAGAGCCATGGATTGATGATATTTTGTTGTGGTTACTGTTGCCATACATTATGCAACTAGCCAGTCCTGCAATGGAATAATCGGAAGAAAGCGACATTGACACAAGTACTACCTTGTATTCTACTGTATGTCTACCTCTCTAGTAAGAACAAAAACAAGCAAAGCAGTTTGGGTATATACTTATGTGCCTGAGTTGCCTTATGACCTGGGTTAATCTTATTATTGATCACATGATAGCCATTAACTAGTAATTAGAATAAATGATTAGAATTAGTTAGATTATATACAGTAAATGAACTGGTACTAAGATAATATAGAGAGCCCTTTTCTGACTTACCCTTCCGGGTAGTAACTAGTAATAACCTAAGAAACCTCTTACAACCATCTTTAACAAGTCACAATGAATAATAAAACTAAGAACATAACCAGGTTTAATATATATATTTATCCACTATATGTGTGCAGGACAGAAAAATATAATGGATTCATGCATTAGTTTATTCTTCTACTAAGCACTTATAATATTGTACTACTGAAAGGACACCCACAGTAATGCAAATACTTATAAGATTATCCAGTTAAGTAGCTAGAATAGCCTGCTATATCTGTGTCCAACTTTTAATCCCTATGCTCCTCAAATGAGATTCATAATCAATCAGCGTCATCATCACCATCATTACCTGATTCTATATCACCTACTTCTCCATCACTCTCATCTACCATATTGATAATCTGGTGCTGTTGTCTGTGACGTGTTAAAAGGTTCAGCATGAATAGGGAAATCATCAGTTGTGGATTTCATATCAGAAAACTGAGTATGCAGGCTATCAAATGTCTGCAGAAGTGACTCACAGTCATACTTGTATAACTGCATGTTATGTTGTTGCAGGTTTAAACCTGCAGTGTTCACAGAATATAAGCAAACTAAGATCATGCACTTGTCCCACTCTGTTATGAACTCATGGATTAGTGAAGCACGCTCTGCAAAGCTAAGGGAGGTATGGAAGACTTCTGCATTAATGTTGGCCTTAACAAGGGCTGCCCTAATGAATACTTGTTCTGCTGGAAATATTATCTATATGATGGCCTTTTCATGGTGGATAAGGACTTGATCCTGTAGGATACTAATTATTAATCTGAGCTTTAGAGACCCCCTGAGCAGAAACTTAAGGGGGAGTGTTCTCCTGGAGCTGCATCATCCTTTGCAGTCTTAAAGAAATATTAGAGAGTTTTTTTATTAACAGCAGTGCCACCCTTTATTCCTTTTATGAATGCTTTGGTGATATATTAATTACTGTTGGCTGCCAAAATTAGAGCAGAGTGCTGTGGTTCATGGACCACATTCTTGGCTTGTCCAAATTCTTTATCCTGAGAATCGCACATGCTTCCTGATGGTTCTCTCTCTGGTATAACAGATTGTCAAAAACCTTCTGATGCAGCCTGAACTGCTCTAGGCTCTTGTCTGTTGGCATAATTATGCCAGATTTGACATCGTGCGTGTCAATGTTACCATTGAGCTCACTTTTGAACTCTGAAGCATCTACATACTTTGACCTGTTGAATGTGGATGTGAGCCCGGAACCATTGTCAGCGGTGGAAGGTGGATCAAATTCTGTGTTGGCCTCAGTGGTGGGATCCGCATCGTCATCAGTGAGTATGATTGCATTGGTAGTGGCTGCAGCTGGCGCTAGCTCGACATATCTCAATGCTTTGACAATATGCCGAAACCTCTAGTAGGTCTCAGAGGCATCAAATACATCAGACTCCTTCTTGAGGAGGACCTTTTGTCTGGGATTGAGCATTCCTGCTTTCCACGTTGATGCAGTGAGACTTGGAACATCATCGTCCTCATCATCGTCCTCATCATCGTCCTCATCATCGTCCTCATCATCGTCCTCATCATC